TGGAAGGCTATTTAACCTATCTAGGGAAAAACCCGTAAGGTGGAAGGGACCAGAGTCATTGCCATATTAGAGCTGAAAAAAATTGTCCTGTTAAGTCCCTGACAGTCTACGGTTTATCTGCTACAAAAGTTAGCATAATTCTAACATGCTGCTTCCAGAACTGCAGGGTTTATTACAATGCATTTACTCTAGTGCCTGGAAGAGTATGTACTTAGAAAATAGAACCATAGGCCTCCACATGGAAACTCATAGTAAATTTTCTATGCTAGAACAGCAGCTTGTGTGGATGTGTGTTTGTACTGTGTAGGCAGAGCACTACCAACAACTTCTATTAATCTTTGTGTTTAATCATAGCAGCATTCATATGACAGCTATCATTTTCTAGGCTCACACACGAATAAATGAGACTCAGAGAAGTTAGGCAAGTTTTGCAAAAGTCTCACAGTCTCACAGGCAATAGCTAGTGACAGAACTGAGCCCCTGGCCTGGCTCTTAACCACTATATTAAAAAGTTAGCAAGGGAGAAAATGATAGTGTGCCCAAGGGCTGATTGCTAATTTGATGTCAGAGAAGAAGATAGTTCAAATCCAGTCATGGGTGGGGCTCCATCATCGTGGTCTCAGACTCTCCTTGAAACAAACTATGACAACACTGAAGATGATCAGCAAGCACTGAGTGCACAAGAGGTGTCAACAGCGGTCAAATTCTTCGTAAAAATAATGCGCTGAGTCATGGGAGATAGTGAAGTCCTTTCTGGGTAGCCACGAGGACCTGGGTTTGATCTCCAGAACCCAGGGTGAGGGCACACAAATGTGCACACACACACACAATACACATGCAAGCATGCACACATGCATGCACACATAAACACACACACACATACACACAAATAATAAAACATTTAATTCTCAGGACAATTCAGTCAGGTAGTTTCTACTCTTGGTCTCATAGAAATGGCAAGGAAACAAGCCCCAAATGGTGAGATTTTCCATGACACAGGTATAAAGGTGAAATTTGGACACAGGCCTGTTTCCTCTGTGATACTTCGTGTGACGGGCACAGAGTGCTGGTTATCCTTTAGAGGACCCTGCTTCAATTCTTAGCACCAACATGGTGGCTCAAAGCCATATGTGACTCCAGTTCTGGGGGATCTGATGCCTCCTCCTGACCTCTGTGAGCAATGCACACACACAATGCGCAGACATACATGCTGGAAAAACATCCATATGCATACAATAATAAAAATATAAAATAAACAAAGTCATTCATTTCTCAATCACATTAGCAGATATCATATTTGGCAGTACAGATGCTGGAATATTTATATAACCACAGAACTTTTATTAAGAAGAGAAGCTTTAGACAAGTGATTCTCAACCTTCCTAATGCTGTGCCCTTTAATGCAGTTCCTTATATTGTGGTGATCCCCAACCATAGAATTATTTTCATTGCTACTTCATAATTGTAATTTTGCTACTATTACAAATCTTAATATAAATTGTGGAGGCCCAAAAATGTGAGCTTATTTCCACCTTGTCTAAAGATCAGAGAGTTTGAACTTGCTCAAAGTTGTTAACAAGTGTGGCTACACACCCTGACCTAAGGTGTGATTGCTTGGCGTTTTGGACATTAGATGGCCTGTACAGGTAGATCCACTCCACCCTGGCCAGAGGTCAGAGAATCCAAGCACTTCTGCTCCCTTTTTTGAATTGAAAAGTTTGACCTAGGGAGTGGCTGCCTTCAGGATTCTTGATCTGGGGTGGGTTCACTGCATAAACGACAGGCCGCTTTTCTCAAGAATTAATGACTTGATGTCTCAAAGTATTGAAGCAAGTAGCTGTTCTAGTTGTCCTTTGTGTAATATTAAGGCTTCTTTTGTCTTCTTCTCCCTGTTGTACTGGCGTATAAAAGTGTAAGGAGAATTAAACACGGGCGATTTCAGTACTCACCGGAACTCCCTCCGGATGCTGTCCTGTGTTTCTGGTTTATTATTTTCACTTGCGTATTCATTCTCTTTACTTATTTTTCTAATCTTCATGCTCCTACCCTGGTAAGTGGTATACTTGTTGAAGCTTGTCTCTGATATATCTAATAAATATCCGATATATAGAAAATCTGATATGTAACTTCTGTAAAAGGATCGTTTGACCCCAAAATGGTTCAATCCCCAAAGGGGTTGTTAACCACCACCTGAGAATCACTGCTTTAGACATTATTATTTATTACTATTATTATTATTATCATCATCTGTAGCTAATATTTATTCTTTGTGATGTGATATTACTATGCTAAGCCTTTTGTATGCATTACCTTATTTAAATTACACAAAGAAGGCACTAAGTGAATGTTGGTATTATTGCTATTCCATTCCAAAGGTGAGGAGATTAAGTTGGGGGCAGAGCAAAGACAGAGGTTAAGTAACTTGAGCAAGATCTCAAACCAGAATTTAAACTTGGGCATTCTGACTCTAGAGCCAGTGGTTTGGCCCTTTCCTTTTCATCATGATGAACTTTGAAGCTACAGAGCCAAAGTAACAGGCAGAGAAGACCACATGGTAGGAAACCAGGACCCCAAACAAACCTTCTCTCCTTTTAAGTAATGCACATCAGGTATTTATTACAGAAACAGAAATCTGAGCAAATCACATCAAAGTCACCCAGCTAAAAAGCAGAGTTAGGATCTGATGCCAGGATCTTAGCTTATCCTAAATCTATGTGCTCAGTTATCCAGCTTGCTTCACTCCCAAGTCAGTAATTTCTCAGAAAACTATTATTAATGTAATATGCCTATTCCCACAGCCTTCCAATAAAAATAAAGATGCTTTATCAGTGTTGATTTATTTTTTATACAACTAAGTATTCTGGAGACGATAGAACAACAGAAATGTTGTTCAATATACACATGAAGTAACTCTCCTCTTTCATTGGAATCCTGCAAAACAAAAGATGTGTTCAGTGTAAGTGCAGCCACCATCAGGATTAAGATGAGGGCCAGATACAGGTTATGATAGACGTATTCTACAGTTATACAGTGATGTAGCATGTTACAAGCACCGACATTGTTTTCCTCGCAAGTAGTCCTTATGGTATTTGTTGCAAGATATTTGATGACACTATGTAAAAATATATCACTGTAGTTGGTTTATTAAAAATCTAAATGGCCTAAAATGCTAGGCAGAGGTTAAAGGCAGGACTTCTGGACAGAGAGAGCACTCGGAAGAAGAAAGGGGGAGTCACTAGCCAAATGCAGAGGAAGCAGGACATGTAAAAAGAGAGGTAAAAGCTATGAGCTGTGTGGAAGCCTATAGACTAATAGAAATGGGTTAATTTAAGTTATAAGAGCTAGTTAGAAACAATCATAAGCTAAGACTGAGCTTTCCTAATTAATAAGAAGTCTTTGTGCCATTATTTGAGAGCTGGCTGGTGGGACAGAGAATATTTATAGATATTTATATTTAATAGTATAGATATTTATCTTTGGTATTGAATTCGTTTTTTGGATTTATATAAATCTTTTGGCCTTCAGCAACACCTTACTCCTGTTTTTGCTGGATAGTTCCATCTCCCCGGGGTGATGGCAGCTTCCTCAGGCACCTTGGACTCCTAGCACTCTGATGCTGGCAACAGATAACTTTCATACCTTCATGAGGCCAGGTCCTCAGGAGAGACAGATCAGTCTAGAGTTGCCACTATGCATGAACTTCCTTGTCTGAAGGCCTCCTTGGAGTATCACCTCAACATACCAGGGTAGTGTTTTCTTCACTGGAGGGGTCAAATGGGAAGGACGGGGAGCAGCTCGGGTCCTAATCTCTAGCACAACTCTCTCCGAAAATGACAAACGTCTCAAAACCTACTGTAAAAGCAGCTGGAACACAGCTGGTAGAGTTTGCTTCCACCAGATTGGATGGTGGGGAGGTGGAGTGGGCTTCTATGTGCTGTAGACAGGCAGAGTCCTTTGTTTGAACAATAGCAACCCCACCTTCTGCCTCTACCACCTCCAGGTCAGACATAGGATGCTTGCTTAGAAGAGAAAGTCTGCAACGAAACTAACCTTGCTCTGTCTACTGGAATTTGCTGTCAATGTCTCTTCCATTCCTTGACTGAAAGAAAAAAAAAGTCAGGGCAAAGGAGAAAGTCTTATAAACACTGAGACACAACTTCTTGGACATTTTTCTCTACTGAACACAAAGGCCTTGTTTTTCTAACTGAGCTCTCACTCCCATCCTTGGAGACTTACACGGCAAGTCTGCATCCATCTTCTTGGGCAATGCTCTAGGCTCACACCATGAGACTTAGCTCATGGTGAGACCTTCTACTTTCCAGACATCTCAGCCTGGAGATGTAACAGTGATCTACTGCTTCTCAGAATTCTTCCCAGAAAACAGCACATTTGAAGGTCAGGAATATGAAGAAGGTAGACACTGGGGACAGGTGATAAGGATTCCCATGGGCAGGGATGTTCGGGGAACAAAGAACATAGGTGGGACTTTCCATGCTGTTTCCCAGAGCCTCTGTGGGACATGGTGTGCTGTGGGTTGTCAGGAAGACTAGGGGTTGCATATTCTAATCTTTTTTTTTTTTTGCAGGATACTACAACTTGGAGTAGTTATGGATTAAGTCTGACTCACTCATATTTTTATGCAAATATTGAGAAGTTGAGGCCTTGTGTGCAGTTAGTGAATACAGCAAAACTGAAAACTCCATGACTTTAGCAAGGACTTTTCTGTCACCTGGAAAGGAAGATGGCACCTGGACTCCTCATACCAGTGTGGTTTTAGGTCACATATCTGCTTGGGATTGTGGGCTCTGATTTACCCAGTATCTGTGCATCAGCAGAAGTCCTTTCCCCTTGACCGCCAAGCTCCTAGACTATGGACATGCCCAGCCTATGTCTTGTTGCTCTGTTTCCCCTGCAAGCTTGTAAGAATTTTTGGGTGAACCATGCCCCGCATGGAGAAGAGCAATGCCCATCTGGTCCCGGGATGACAACAGTGAATACAGTTACAAACAGAAGAAGAAAATGTGGTATACCCTGAAAAGGAAAAATGGCCGCCCCCAGGTGGAAGTGGAACCCTGCAACACAGAAACACAAACTGTTATGCATCACATTCTAAGTCAAAGAAACATCCTTGGAAAAGGTTTCAAACAGGATGGTCCCAGACCAGCAGCATAAAGATACCTGAAATACTTGTTATTAATGAAAATTCTCAAAGTCCATCTCAGACCTATTGCATCGCAGGGAAGAGCCCAGCTATCCCAATTTAACCAGATTCTAAGGCATGCTTAAGTCTGAGCTTCACTGGTCTAGGGGATTGGCACTGGCTGAAGTATTTGTCCTCTCTCTAAGCTTACACAATGGCATGTGGCTCCCTGAACCAGAGAGGACAAGTCCCTAGTAACAGATGGCCCAAGTGGCTCACCTGTGAGACTAGAAACGAAATATTAGCCATGTTTAACATTCACCCCATATTTCCATAATCACTTTCTACCTCAGGACAAGCCCAGGGACCCTCAACTTCAATGTTTAGAGAGGATAACCAGTGTCCTGTAGGGAGATCTGTTCTATCTAAATGGGTCTGGAAGAGTTACGGGTTCCAGCCACATCTCTGCCCTTTTTTCTAGAACTTTCTGGAAATCAGTGTTCTCACGAGGTTCACATGCCTTCTTAGGAAAGTCCACAGTAGCAGTCCCGAAATCCTGTGAAGGAACAATGTATAAATTAATTCATCAGGCATCACACCCATCACCTCACACTGCCCTAGAGTGATGGTGCCCCTTCCTGGTTCCATTTGAAGATCGCCAGAAGACAGGGGCAGAAAAGCAATCGGGGAGAATAGTTGATAGTGAGGCCGGTTGCAAGTTCCGGAAGCAAAGCTCGTTCACTCAACCAGTGTTGCAGTGTGGGATTTAAATAGGTCTCATTTGCTCACAACTCTGAATAAACCCAACTCGGCAATGTACTTCTGATTTAAGCGAATTTTCAGTGTCAAGTTATTTTAGCATCTTCCGCTCAGTTTCCATTATAACTTGGTTTAAGAATGGAGTTAGAGTCCAGCGGGAAGCCTGCGTGCAGGCGGCAGGGAGATCAGGCAGTGTTCTAGTGACTGAAAAATTTCCCGAAGTCTTAGAACTACTGGGTTTAAATCTAGGAAGTTTCTGGACCAAACAGGATATGTTGGCTGCCACAGCTGGACTCAAGATAGCCAAAAGAATTTTTTTAATTAATTTTCTTTTTTTTTGCTGTCATACACAAAACCTTGATTAACAGTTCTTTTTTTGATTAATAGTTTGAACAGGGTCAGCCATTACTGAAACTGTCCTTACTGAATTTAAGGGGAAAGAAGTAACTTAAAACAGGCAGGGAAGGCGGCAGAAGCAGGAACATCACCGGGGCAAATTCCATGACGAAACAAAAGGACAGAACTGAAAAGCAACATAAAACAAAAACAAAATGAACCAAAAGCAAAGGAAGAGAGGGATGGGACTGGATGGGGCTGAAGCACAGGGTCCCTCCCTTAGCCTTTCCAGTCACAACAGCATGGGGTTACAGCCGGGAAAGTCAAGGTTAGGGGACCAGTGTTTCTGCCCACAGCTCTCCCCACAAACTGGATATCGGGATTCAGGGAGAGAAGAAAAATGAGCAATACAGGGTGACATCACACGTTTTCCGTGGTGTCTACAATAAGCTGTAGTATTATGGTGGGAGGAAACAGGCACATACTGGATGCGGCAATTTTTTCATCCTTCTGCTGGAGAGCTTGGCAGCCAGGCGCATCAAGGGGTGCACGGGCACAAACTGCAATAGAGAGAAGCTCTGAGGCCTGAGAGTCTTAGGGAGGAGATGTAACCTCGGTGACTCCGGTGGAGAGCCCAGGGCTATGCACGTCCTTCTTGACTCGCCTCTTTTACAGATGGGTTTAATTTTCAGAGTAAAATCAATTCTGGAGCCTAAGCTTGAAACATTTATGTTTTCAATAAAGAGCTTGCTTGCCTCGATACAGGTTTCAATTCCAACACACCACTTAAAAAAATCTCCCCTCGGGATAAGTCAGCGGCTTACCGACATTAACCCTAAGCACTCTGTCTTAGCCTCAAAGTAGCGGCTGCCCTGGATTCTTTTTCTCTCCTCTGATGTGTTGTTCTGGGGAGGGGGTACCAGGGCGGTAAGCATCGGGCTCTACACTGCTTGACTTCACCTGTCTGCACACTCCCAGATAAGGGCGTCTGCTCCCCGGTGTTTTGGTTTTGTAACAACCATGGCCTCTCCCCTTTGTTCCTTTTTGCTTTGTGATAGCTGGTGCCTCCTTATCCAATCCCATTCCTAGACCCAGAACATCAGTGAGTTTGTCTCTGGGAGGAAAGATACTTTGCTGAGTATTTGACAATCTTTAAGAAGACTTGGGACGCCCTGAGTATATAAATAAATGACTTTCCTGTAGTAGAATGTCAGCTGCTGGGACAGTGCATTCAAACTAAACTCTAGATTTTAAGACCTCCCCAGTGTTTCTCAAATGCCACCTGGCAGAAATTCACCTACACAAACCACTCTTGAGGGTCGCTAAGAGTTTTAACAAAGTCAGGCAAGCATGATGACGCACACCCGGAATCTTATGACACAGTAGGAGGAAGCCCAGCCTGGACTACATAGTGAGAACTTATGCCCCCCCCCAAATGGGGGTTGGGGATGTAGCTCGGTGACAGAGTGCTTGTCTACCATGCACAAGGCCTGCAATCTGAGCCCCAGAGCTGCAAACACAGGTTCGAGGTGATCGTTGACATTCCCATTGGGCATCGACACCCTAACAGTCACAGAAGATGGCATGTGTGGATCATGGGGGAGGGGCGGGGCGGACAGCACGGTATGTATCACACAGTAGTCTTCAGAATGGAAAGATGGGAAGCACTAAGAAGCAATGGGTGTTGTGCTTACTAGGCTCTCCTTGTGATCATGTTTAAGTACACGATTGCAAAAGCCCTCTTCTTCTTTAATCTCCCTTTTCTGCAGTTTCTTCTCTAATATTTCAGATCTGTCAGTTACCCACCATCCCCACCCCTGACGAGAAAGTGACAATTCTCCCCATCCTGGGCAGGGAGTGGGAACACATGGAGGGAGTTATCATGCGTGGGTATCTGGGCATTCCCTGCCTAAAGCTTGGCAGTGCATGTGCATAAATTCAGAAGGCATAAAAGGTCTGCAGAAGAGCATCGTTTGCACAGAACGTATAATAAAATACTGACCTCAGAGTTAGTGGGATGCTTTGGCTTCTGAGTTCTGGAGTACTGAAATAAAAACTGAATAAATAAGAAAGGGATATTACCACCAAGTGTCACTTGCTCCAAATATGGCACAAAATACGTGTCAGGCACCACAAGGCACTCACTCTTTTGTATACAACCTGGTTTTCCTGGAAAGAGAATTGAGAAGAAAGTTACCTGGAGTTTTACTGGAGTGGGTATCTGATGACGTTTTCAGTGTAAGTCACACTATGAGCCTGACTGGATTTACTCAAATATCATGAATCAGTCAAGACGTAGTTGACAGCAGGGCTGTAGTGGGGTACGCCTTTAAGTCCTGTGATCAGGGGCAGAGGCAGGTGAATCTCTGTGAGTTCCAGGTCAGCCTGGTCTACAGAGTGAGTTCTAGAGCAGCCAGGGCTATATAGATACGCAGAGAAACCCAATCTCAAAAAAAAAAAAAAAATAATAAAGAAAAGAAAAGAAAGAAAGGAAAAAAAGACTGTAGCTGATTTGACACAGATTTTTAAAATAAAGTTCCTTTTACAAGTCATCTCTTCTTATCTTTTCAATCTTAAGGAGGAAAGTCTTTCCCCTATTTCATAAAAATCAATAGTTTATTCAACTCTTTTCCAGCTGCCAATCAGACTTCTCTAGATTTCATGTGTATCCTTTTTACTTCCTTCTTTTCTTTTCATAGAAAAACGTATCAACTTTTGTCAGGTAGCATTTCACTCATTTCCCCAACTGTAATGCACACATTATGAGGGCAGGTAGTTTTGTGTGGGTTGCCACTCCATCCCTAGTACCTGGCGGTGCCCTCTTCTCCTGCATCTCTCCCGATTTAAGGAACAAATGGCTCTCTGGTCACAGAACCTATTAGCTTTTCCCTGTCTAAATTCCTTCTGATCTCATGGGATAAAGAGAAAAGCTGAGCTTGAAGTGTTTCTGCACAGACATTGAGTGTAGAGTGCAACCACTTCCCGACTTGCTTGAACGCAGAAGTTTCCTACAAAGATCAGGCTTACTGTTGAGCAGTAGTGCATAGGAACCCCAGCAATTCACCCCAACACTGGACAGTTGGGGGCAGCAACTAAGCCCAGAAGAGGCAATAGCTCTCTAGTTATAATTTCGAAGTGTTGGCATCTTTGTTCACTGAATGACTGTTTTTTTTTCATCTGTAATCAGAAATAACGGGTGTGGTTGGCTCAGGAGAAATGAAAACGGTAGAAGGAAATGCAGTCCAGCTAGGTCCTTGCACCCTGGAAACCCCTCAATCCAAATGGATGCTGCGGCTGGCCATGGGACAGCTACACTTCCACTGCCCCTGCTTCGGCTGGAGACACCACAACCTTCATATAAAAGCATAAAAGCCACTGTTCTGCAAGGTAGGGAAGTAGTGGGAGTTGGGGGCCTCCGAGTTCTCACTTTGAGGCTTCGTTCAGATACCAGAGCTATAAAGGTGGTTATCTATAGTCATCTCCAAACATGTGCATAGTGGCAAATTGAAAGCAAGAGGCGCCTACTATATCTTCATGATGTTTGAGAGAGATGGTGGCACTTGGATTTTGAATGAGGAGTAGCTGCCTCAAGAGTGGCTAATGGCTATCTTTTACTAAGCTGTGGGTGCAGTTGAAAGCACTTTATGGAAGTTAGAGCTCCCATTCCTCAGGGTAGGTGGACTTGTTAGAGCAATCGCATGCATGCAACAGACAAGCCAACTAAGGTGCAGAGACAGCTCCGTTTGAGAGCCTGGGCTGTAACTACAGGCTCCCAGGAAGGCAGAGACATTACTGAGTAAAGAGAAGGCTGTATCAAGAGTTAAAGGTCTGGTGTGTTTGGGCTACAGTGAGATGTTGGATGTGACTGAACTGTGTGATGTTGTGGGCTAGGAAGTAAGTAGAGAAGAAGAAATGTTACTCAAGGTGAAAACTGATGGGCTATGCTGAGAGTTGTGAACTTGGTCCTAAGACCAATCTTTCGAAGCTTCAATTAGCCAGCATTGACTTTGTAGCCACTGAATTACTTCTGTTGCGGTCACTATAGTTACTGTTGGTACAGTCCTTCACATGAGATGTACTGTGTTAAGAGCTGTTACACCACAATGCATCAATTTATAATGTACATCATAGTATATAACTAATTTTATGATATAGATAACATAATATTAATATATATGAAGTACTAATATTTCATGGTAATTTCTATCAAAGACAGAAACTTAAAATTGTATTTTTATATACACACATACACATACATACAGCATTCTCTAGTGGACAGCAAAAACCACATATTAAACATAAGTTATAATGTAAACTTACATACTGATATAACCACAAGAGCTAGCATATGTATTAGTTTAACCTTAGGTTGGTTATAAAGTATCTTCCACTGGTTCAGAAAGTATACCAGTTGCTAAAAGACAGAATGAGGAAAAATAAATCAAATACAAAATAAAATAAAATTCTTTAGCCAGTAGAATTCTCTTACAGCATGTTTAAAATTCTAAAATCGTTCCATTTGTGAACTTTGAATTATCTCCTCACACAGTGCAGCGAATTTCAGTTCAACTCTCAGGATGTCTTAAATGAGGCCATGCAGCAATCGCAGTGAGCTTCTGCCGCAGCCAAATATCTGATCTTAAAATAGTTTTAAATGAACATTAACCACATGATATTTTCAAGGCTGAGACTAAATGCAAATCTCAAAATGCTGCATAATAGCATACCTCAAACTCCACAATATCCAAGCCATCTGGAGAATCAGCTAAAGGTTGAGAAGCTCCTATAACAAAAGACAATCAAAGCATCAATTCTAGAAAGAGATCATAGCATTTGCTTCTGCACCCATGCCAGAAAAATTATACAGAGGTCTTAACAGAATCCATCTCAGAGCTGAGCAAAAGGAAGTCATTGAGAAATCAAGTTAAAAAGTCAACAGAAGGTACAGTTAAAAGGAACCAAAGAGATAAAACACCTCTACCTAATACTATCAAATCCAAGATGTGCAGCAACACAGCTTTAAAACTCCATGTGTTTGATGTAATGGGAGTTGCTAGTCCATCTGCTAGAAAACTAATAAAGAAAGAGAAAATACTTAGGGAGCAAATACGTTTATATTTTGGTGAAATTTGTGAGGATCAAATACCAGAAAGTAATATTAACAAAATGTATGCATCTAATCAGGATTTTTAAGACATGCAGGTGCCTGCCTCCACTCTACCAGTCCCTCCAGGGGTGTTCTGGGGAGAATTTCTACCAGCATGTAATTGGATCCTTACAGCCTCCTTCTGACTTACATGAACACATCTTTTCTTTTATTACACTCAGAGGTTTATGCAGCTGAAAGAATCCATAAGAGTAGGCCAACACTAACAAAATAAGATTAAATACATATAATGTCCTGAACTTGGATACTTTATAGCGTGGAACAAGGGGCATATGACTCAAGAGAAGTTTATTCTAGCAACAACAAATATATGTACATACAGTCATGCATACACACACACACATACATATACACATATATGTATGTACACATATGTATTTACACTGTGGGTCATTTGTTCTCTGCAGTCTGAGACAAAAGAAATCTAAGGCAATATTCCTGCATATTCCAACAATGGTGTTCAAGCCTTGAAGAGTAATACCCTGATTTGAAATGGTGGAAGGTAATATAGAGTCAATGTAGTTTTCTCTAGCAAGACTGAAATTGGGATACATATGTTAAGTCCCTTCAGTGATTTTGACGACCGTCACAAGCAAGAAATCTTCATCTAATATTGAATACTCCGATAGACCTTAACAAAAATCCCTGATTGGAAGTCAGATGCGATCAGGGAACAGGTTAATGGAAAGATATTTTTGATAATTATGATCATTTAGTAATGCAAAGTACTGCAAACCTGTCCTACAAGTTCTTATTGGAAGGTCTGTGCTAATACAAAAATGAAGACCACAGGATTCTACCCTCTGAAAACAAAATCAAATAGGAAAAATAGGGGATGGATATAAATATGAAATTTCAACAGCAAACTATGAACAAGATTCTGTTGGAGGCCAGAGGGACAGCAGCTGCTTGTCCTGGGCTGGCTGTGAGCTGCAGATTAGACAAAGCAGCAGAGAAGAACCTAGAAGCCTGGCTGGAAAACCACAGAGGAGACCTGATGCTCTGGAGATTTTAAAATGATACCATTTCTCACATTGCCCAGATGTTGCAATTACTCTTTAGGGCAAAACAAGCACATTGTGGTTCAAGGTTCTCTGTACCTCTAATTCAAAATTCTAAAGGAAAAGCTCAAATTTTTGTAATCCTCCTCTGTTTAAATCATAGACTTTCCTCAACGGCCTACTTTCCTACATTCTGGCTGGAGATGGTGATCTAATCATGACTGAGGACCTCAGACCTTCTCCTCACTTCCAGCTCCCTACAAACTGCTCAGAAATTGAAGAGGGACAGCGCCCGGTCAGCACCGCGGACAGCGCCCGAGGGACTGGCAGATGCTTGCCTTCAGGTTCCCCTGAGCTCTGAGAACCGACTCCCACCCGGATACAATTCCTTTCGTCTGTAGAGCTGCTCTCTGCTTTCTTCGGCTGCCCACCAGCTTTCAGTCTGAGGGACTGTAAACCTAACTTTCTTCCCTGTGTTCTCGTCTCAGTATCTCTGAAACAGACCACTAAGCGGGGTCTTACCCCAGTGCGCATGGAGACCATACCCTTCAATTTTCATCACCACAGACTCAAGACACTCCTGGGGCAAGAGTTGTTTCATCCCAGTATCTTTGGAGAAAGTCTCTGTGTAAAAGGCTGTGGGTCTCACTGTGTCCCTCACCCTGGTTGGACACAAGTGCCACGCCTGAAAACAAGAGGGTAGATGTAAGAATAGGTGGAAAAAAAAGCTCAACTCTTGTGAGAACGACCCTGCAGGGTAAATATCCCAGTCTCCTGTAGCACTCAGGTCAGGCAGATGTGGTGTCAGTCCCCTTACCTGAGGAGGGAATCTGCAGCATACAGAAGCAGTAGATGACCAGGATGGAAGGGAACTGGGAAGGCAGATGTTTCATTTTCGAGGTCTGGCTCCTCTTTGCGGGCCACAGATGTGTTGTTCAGAGAGGCAGTGAGCACTTTCCCAGGGTCCAGAGGCAGGGATGATACTGCATCTGTCCAGCCCAGGGCAGTAAGGAGCCTTATTGGCAGCATCCTAGTGCCCATTGGCTGAGCACCAATCAGCTTTGCGCAGGAGGACCCAGGCTTTCTCATAAATGTCATGCTGGGCCCTTATTTGTAGAATAATATCCTCCTAGTGTAAGCATTGTAGAGTCAAGCCAGCAATAAAAATAAGAAGTGGAGAGTCATAATTGTTATTCTATAATGACTTGAGAAAAACTTCTGACTCAGGAAAGGCCTATTCCCCCTTTCTTTCTAAATCATAGCGCTGGACATAAACCCATAAACCCTTGTATGCTGAAGTCGTGCTTCCTAAGAAACTGCTTATTTTTTCTGTAGCAACAAGGGTTGTCTCATAGTCTTTGGTACATCTAAGAACAAATCCTCAAGTCCTAGATTGGATAAACATAACAGGGGGACAAAGTTCAATTAGAATATTTCATCATTTCACCCTTTTTCTATTCCATGTCTAACCATAGAAAGCTCTTTTGTAGAAAAAAGTAATTAATCAACATGTTTACACACGAACCAAACAAGGATGATACCAGTAGATTTGCTAATGTTAATGGGGAAAGCACATGGGGTCCTCAACCACACACAAAGATCTATAGGGAACTAAAGAAGGCAGAGAGTGGGAGAAATAGTCCTACCCAGGGAAGAGCACACCAATTGATTATTCAATATTAAATGGTTAGCCCTGAAAACATACACACAAATAACATATGGACTGAGAAGGTTTTCTTTATGTGTATGCATGCATAAACAATGAAGAGAAAGGCCATGAATTTGAAAATTTAAAAGAGGGCCTGGAGGGATGTGTGGGAAAGTTGGGAGGGAGAAAATGAAAAGGGGAAATGGTGTAATTATATTAGGATCTCAAAAAATAAAAGAAATTATTTTTAAAAAGTAATCTATCAACCAAAACACAATTTTCTACAGACTCAGGCAGCTGTGATGAAGCACTCTTTTAATATCAGCACTTGGGAGGCAGGAGACAAGTGGATCTCTTGTGAATTCCAGACCAGCCAGGTCTACATTGAAACCTTCTCTCAAAACTAGATAAATACATAAATAATCATGGTTGGAAATTTACCTCTTTAAGACTTTTTCAGATTCATTTCCACAGACAAGTTAAATATTTCAAATTAAGTTGGTAATTAAAAAAAGCGTGATAGCATGGTTACATAATAAATAATAATAATAATAATAATGAATTGATTCCATGTGCTGAGTTTATGCACGCTGGGATCTGTTATCATCTCAGGTAGGTGAGCTTGTAATCGTCAAGGAGAAAAGCACAGTACACTGGTGCTGTCCTAATCTTATGAATGGAGAAACTAGATCCGGGAATCATTAAGGAACTCGCCAGACGTCACTCGGATGCTAAGGGCCAAAGCAAGAAACTGGTCCCAAGGGCAGCTGAGTCGTCTGTCTGTGGGTCCATAGACAATGAGATTTGGGTTGATAAGTTACTACTTCTAAAATAAGCGCTTTGGGAATCCTGTGAGACAGAAAGTAAATGAATGAAAGTTTCTATTTCTTGCCAAAAGGATAGTAAAATGGCAAAAAGTATTTTAGGTGTTTTTCATTATGTTTATCATTAGTTTTACCCTGTTAAAGGTTACAAGATAACTAATAGCCAATGAAGGCTTACAATGTATCTCAAATATGTTAATTTGTTTTTCTTTGATGGATTTTCTAAATCATTTAAATTGTTTTAAACATTGACTTAATTTACCTGAGTCAAAATTTTTAAATGAATGAAATTTTAAGGAACAGTTTTGATCAGTGCCGCTCTCCGATCTCGTCAAAGGAGTTGCTTTGTACAATGGATGGCTTTGTATTTGTAATGTTAATGCAGAAATTCACAACTGGCCAAAGTGCAGAGAATAAGAGTCTATGGGGTGTTCAGTCACAAATGGGACATCTACATTTTATCTCTGCCCCCAGGGCTTAAGCACCATAGAGAAAGGGGAGAAAGATTGTAAGACCGAGGTTGGGTAGTATCATATTGAGAAGGTGTCATCTGTGTCTGACAGAACTCCCTCCCTTGTGAGCTCACAACAAACGGCTCTGGCGGCCTCCAGAGGACCTGCCTGGGATCAAGCCAACCAATGCTCTGGTTGTAACCCCACCTCTGACTGAGGAACTATGAAGAGCGACAGCTTCTAGAGGAGGTGCCGTCAGTTTTCTTTAAGGACGTACGTAGCTCCCAATAGAGTGACCAAGTGGATGGCCCCACAGCTAGGAGCATGTGGAAAGCCCCAGCTAGAGTCCATTGGTTGTTTTAAAAGAATCCAAAGACAAAGTTGGGGTGGAAAGGAGATAGGGATGTGTGACGGCTATTCTCGGTTGTCAGCTTACCTACAAAGAATTACCCAAAACCCAAGTGGCTGTGCCCACCTATGGGGGATGTTTTTCTTAATTAAGTCAGGCTAAGTAGGAAGACCCACTTCTAATCCTGAACTGAAGACCAGCTGAGACATCAAATCTCACGGACCGAACAACTGCTTGACTCTTTGACCTTCCATCCATAGGCACCCATTGTTGAACTAGCTGGACCACAAGCCTGCAAGCCATTTTAATAACTCTCTCTCTCTCTCTCTCTCTCTCTCTCTCTCTCTCTCTCTCTCTCTCACACACACACACACACACACACACACACACACACACACACACGTGAGCATGCATGCGAAAACACAAACACAGCATACATAATATAGACATATGGAGAACAATTCTATATGTTCTGTTCCTCTAGTGAACCCTGACTAATATAGGATGCATCTGGGTGGAGCTACAGGGAGAAATTGAGGGTCAATATGATCCAAATACATTGTATGATATTCTCAAAAAAGTAATACAAGTGTTATTTTTGAAAGAATATTTTTGAGTGAGAGTGGCTCAGAAGGAATTATTTGTGTCTTTAAATAGAGTGTTTTCCAAAAAAATTCCACTCATAAAGGAATGGGAACTGTGACGCCGCTTTCATCACAATATCTTTTCTCCTTCCTTACGTCAGCAAGAAACAGAAACTTATATTTATTATGATATGTAAAATTTTAGTTCAAGAATAGCACCTGGTCTTTACAGGCCACAGACTATGCCACTTATATTAAAATATACTCATTGACCCCCAGAAAGCCTTTACTGAACGAAGGCATCTATGAAGGAGCATCTTTTAAGGGTCAACCACTTGCAAACACTGGAGATGTTCAACATGTAACTAGTAGCAATCATTTGCGGTGACTCTGTTGTCTGCCAGCAGGTGCTTATTGGACATCTGGAGTGTGTCGAAAAGATACACATGCTTTTCAAATAAACCACTGAAGCGAATAATCCAAAACAAGCGTGTTTTGCCCCATACTAATTCTCACATATTTGCATATGCATATTTGGTCCACACGAGTCCTAAGATATTCAAGACAAGGTGTAAAGTATCACATGGAATGTTAATTCAAAAATCTGAAGCTAGAGGGGAAAAAAACCCTCTGTACTTATAATACTATTCCTTGTACACTGCTTTGAGCTCTGTTGTGCCCTCCGCAATTTATATTGTGTTGAAGGTGCGTGCCTCAGATAAACTGTATGTAGAAGTAGAACCATCAGTATACAGTTCAGTGGAGCTGTAAGAGATCTCTGGAGCTGTAAGAGATCTCTCCCAGGCTTTCAGGGACGTGGAGGAAAGGCCTGAGAGGGCACCATGGGAAAGGAGATCTTTCCACAGCCACGGAGGGCAGCTTACCAGAAACCAACCCTGCGCAGCTGTGAAAATACAGATCTCTGCTGTTGAAGGCCACAGTCTATGGTATTTTGTTGTGGTAATTCAAGCAGAATAATACAGACACAAAGGAATTTTCTAGACAAAGAAATAAAAAGTAAAATCAAGATGTTAAAGTCGAAACCCCTCACACTGCTTCCAAATGGTGCCTGTCCACAAGAAAAAGTATCGATTGGAAACTGATGGAGTGCTTAACAAATGGTCAGATTTAGAGAAAGCTATTTTCAGGTGTGATTTTCTTAGGCATGCAAGCAAACTTTCCTCATTTTTGATGTTGACCTCAGTATCTTGTCACAGTATGGAAAGCTGACAAACACAATGCCTTCCATGTATAGACTAACAGTCTAGAGCCGTATAAACTCCATACTTCTGGGGTATTAAGTACTTCTGGGGTACTTAATACCCCAGAAGAAGAGGTCCCAGAGCAATGGGACAGGCAAGTAGGAAGCACAGCTATTTCCTGAAGTCTGGAAAAACTATTGCAACCAGGCAACCCTGTGCTGCTCACTTTTCTACCTGCCTTTTCTCGGAAACCCCAACAAAGGCTTTATCTTATCTTCAGACTCACCTTACCTTCAACTCTGCCTCCTGCTTCCTGGCCATCCTGGTGCCTTTCCCTAAGGGTCTTTGTGGAACAGCGAACCTCTTGTGTCCAGGACATCTGAGTAGAGATGTGCCTTCACTTAGGATGGGGTTAAAACTGCACAAGTTGAAAATGTACTTAGTGTTATTCCTTATACTCTGGTCCCTTTAAGGCCTAACCACGCCCACTCCCAGCCACTTCTGACCTCCCTCGCCGCCATCTTAACTCTACCTCTTCTGTCCCCCGTCTCTTGGCATGTGCACACGTGTCTTTGTCTCTCTCTATGTTTCTCTCCATGTTTCTCTATTTCCTTCTTTTTAAGTAATAAATGTCTCCCTCTTCTTTAAGTAATAAATATTTAGCTTATTCTTAGCCTTACGTCTATTTACTATGTCCTGTGAGCCTTTTATCCCCTGTACCCGCCCGCATGACTCGCCCGCCGCATGGCGGGACCAGCCTGCCACCCTGGAGATCTTGCAGGGACCCACAGCCATCCTTGTCGGACTAGCGGCTGCTCTGTGAGCCTGCCAGGG